ACAAGAACCATAAGCTTTTTCGGAAGCGTCTCCGAATACATGAAATTGAATAGAATTCGCCTGTCGTAGTTCAGAACAAATACAGCGATTAATATGTATAGCCTTTACAGCAGATAGACTAGACACTAAATTATTCCAATAATCACAAAAATTATTATCTAATGGATCATCCCAATCTAAAGGATTTTCACACAACTTTTGAAAACATAGCTTAAACAGTAATACAATAGGTGATATTAAACCAACTGGATCAAAGAATTTCGCAGTTGTACTAAGAACTTGTCTTTTAGTTAAAGTTCCATTAACATTTACATTTGACAAAATCTTATCAAATTCGAATTGAAACCTATCAGTATTAGTATCCCATTTTTGACCTAAAACACTGTTACTATCAAAATTTGAATTTTGAACAAAATCATTATAACCTCTATCATCTTTGATTACATCAGACTCTATTTTCGTAACATTAAATTCTACTTCAGGGAAATCGCTGGACTCTCTTGCAGCATAGACATTAACACAGGCGAATTACTACACCATTTTCTCATATTGAATCCACAATTATTTAAGCAGAGTTTACATTATCTGCTCCAGAGGCAAAATCATCAACATACAATGACCTAAGAATATTATTCAAAATTTTAAAATTGCCATCGATAGAATTACTTAAATGATAAGGTAGGGTTGCATTTAAAATGAAGGGACTTGAAGTCACTCCAAATACCACTCTATTAAATCTAAACACTTTAATTTTAGGTGACTCGCCCATAAGAATCTAAGAAAGTCTCGGTGCTCTTTATAAATGGCAATATTCAAAAATGCCTTCTGTATGTCAGCAGTCAAAGCGATAGGATTCATTCTAAATCGAAGAAGAATATCGAATATAAGCGGGTTTAATGAAGGGCCTGAATATAAACACTCATTAAGACTAGGCCCATTTGTTTTACAAGAGGCATCATGTACCACTCTTAATTTAGTTGTGACCTTATCTGAATGTAAAACTTCTCTGTGTGGAATGTAATGTATTGATCCGGAATTAATTATTACATCATCATCATTTACAGTATCAATAATACCTTCAGATAATTGTTCATCAATTATTCTATCATATTCTTTAAGAACATCCGGCTTACTATTTAGTCGATACAAAAGAGATGATAAGCGCTTTACACAAGTAGAATAATTATCAGATATTTTAAGATGATTTTCTTTAAATGGTAACCTCACCTCATACCTTTTACCATCAAATGTAATGTTATCAGTAAAATCTGACAAAACACTTGATTCATCATTACGAATACCCAAAGATTCAAGCTCTCAAAACTTACTTAACTCAGACTTAATTGAAGATACATCACAATTTTCATCAGATACAGAACTAATATGCAATACATGCGTATGACTTAAATTAATAGTGCATTGCTCACTACTTGAGTTATTAATGACAGGGCCAGACAGCACCCAACCAAGTTTTGTCAACATTGCGACGGGACCAGGGAACTCTCCCCGTCTTGTTTCACCACAAAAGAAATTCCAATAGAAATCTGCCCTGATTAATATATCAACTGTAAAATAAGAATGCCCAGATGGATTCGCTAATTTCAAACCCTGTAAATGTGGGTACTTTTCTAAAGCTTTACACGTTAATTGATCGCTACCATACGCTGTAACATACAAATGTAAACCATCATCACTTGCAACATTAAATTGAACAATGTCACACAATCTTAACTTAGGAGTTTCCTCCCCAAAGGTTTTAATAAGTAAATTTTCATGCCCAACAGTTATTAAATTTAACAATCTGCGTGTTGTATCAGTAATATATGTTCTTTGACTGCACAAATCAAATACAATGTTCTTATACGATCCCCTAGAATTACCATTACCACTTACAAACCCTACAGCGGTTTGTAACAGAATAGAATTTTGATCACCTGTACAAGTCATGTTAGATGTCACAGTTTGACTCGATTGTCCAGTTTCAGTTTTATTAACATAACTCGGCAGCCTTACATTTTGTTGAGGCCTATAAGTACAAATAGCTTTATTATGTCTTTCTCCGCAGTTAAAGCATTTATAGTCATGATTAGGACAATTCCGTAACACATGTCCAGAGCGTAAACTCAAAAAACACTTTGCTTTATGACGTAATATAGATTTGTGAGCTGAAATGTCAGTAACGGACGTGCAGTTTACAGATGGGTTTTGCTGAGCACAAAACACACAATACGGCACAGATCTTTGATCTTTACTCGAAAATAAAGTTGAAGCTGTTGAGGGATTCACTCGATTCGATCTGGATTGAGGACTGTATACGTTGTTCAAAGAATACCCGCGTTTCTTAGAATTACTATGCATTAAATTAACTCGCTCTCTAGCTTCAAGTTCAGTTTTTAAAATATCCAAGACTTCGTCCACACTCCAATCTTTAACTCCACGGCTAATAAATAAACGTAACTCTTCAGGAAGTTTATTGATGATAATAGGAATAAGAATATTACCATACGATTCAGACTGTACACCCATAGATTTTAGACTTCTTATCTGGACCTCAATGGTGTCGTATAATCTACGAATATATTTAACTTCACAACCACTTGTAACAGGTTGTAAATTAAGTAAAACGTCCATATCCAGAAATAATAACTTGCTTATTTGCGAACCTATCTTTTAAAAGCTGAATTGCTGCTTCATAGTCTTCACTTATTAAAGACAAGCCTGCTACACATGAAGATGCTGGTCCGTCCAACAGACTCTTTAAATAATTAAATTTCTCAACACTTGAAATGTCACTGTTATCGTCTACTGCAGCCCGGAAGCTATCCCAAAACGGCTGCCACAGCTTCGGATCACCAGAAAATCTAGGCAAACACAATTTTGGCAATTTAGTCTTACTGACAAAAGTTTCTCTAGATGGATTACTAGGGCTACTCAAATCAGAACTATCAGCTATACTGGTACTCGATTTTTCACTGGCCTTCTCATTATTATGTAAACACAATTTAATTTTAAATAAAGTTCTATTAATAGTGTCAGCAAATTCACTTGATTCAAACATATCATTACCAACTTCATCTTCATCTTCAATATCTTCTAATACTTTTTCATCTTAAGACGCTAAAATGAATTTCTTTTCTGTGTCCTTCTAAACTTTCCACTGAAGAAGGAGATCCATCAAACTGAGCTAATGATAACAATTGTCAATATATTAGGCCTATAAGATAATTACTATACTATACTATAGGTCGACTGGCACATGAACTAAACTCAAGAGATTGACTGGAACAACTGTATCCGTCTCGTCGGACCATGTTTTGGATTATAGAAACGATACTCGGTTAAATAGGAAACATGTTTATTAAAGGCTATTGCCTTTCTATACTCAATACTCACATATCTTGACTATACAAGATTTTTACAAAGAAAAACACATGGTTTTAAAATATGGCTGCCAACCCAACTCAACAACATTTATTATCTCCAAAAAGAAGAGTAAAAAGAAAACAAGAGTTGTTTCCCTTTCATCATTAATCATTTCAGAACAAATGCCTTGATGGAGTTCAAACATGAGAATTTTCTGCTTAGGGTAAGCAAAAACAAGCAATTTAATTGGTTGATACTTTGGGACTCGATAACTTTAGTTCGAATTAAGTGAGAGTGGGGACACTTGGTGTATAGCTTTAATACTGAGTTCGTTCATGAACATTATTTGCTGAGGGTAAGCAGAGTGATAAGCAATTTGATTGGTTGAGATTTTGGAACACAATAACTCTCCTTCTAATTGAGGTAGAATGTTCAAACTTGGTGTAGGCGTTCATTATGTGAATGCCTTGATGGAGTTCAATGATGAACATTGCTTACGGTAAGCAGAGATAAACAATCTGATTGGTTGATGCTTTGGGACACGATAACTTCCTGAATTATGGTCTCTGATTGTATGAAAAATCTCGCTTTTAACTTGTGGTCCCTCTAGAGGTCACAATTTTTATCTGAATTAAAAAAAAACGTTTTAGTATATCATCGTTACACCCTAATGATGGTTGAGTTCGAATTTCGGGAAAATCGGACCAAAACTGCCAGACAAAATGGCCGCCCTTGTACGCAAATAGTGTAAAAATATGGTATATCAAGGTTGTCACAATTTTCATCCGATTTAGATGAAACTTGGAATGCATGTTTTTGACCCAAAGATCTTGGTTCCTGTCGATATTTGCGCATATCGGATTTTACCTTTCTGAATTATGGCCCCTGATTGTATGAAAATCACGCTTTTAGTTTGTGGTCCCTCTGGAGGTCACAATTTTTATCCGAATTAAAAAACATGTTTTAGTATATCACCATACACCCAAATGATGGTTGAGTTCAAATTTCGTGAAAATCGTACTAAGACTGATGGACATAATGGCCCCTTGTACGCAAATAGTGTAAAAATATGGTATATCAAGGTTGTTGACTCTCTTAGAGGCCACAGTTTTTATCGGATTTGGATGAAACTTTAAATATATGTTTTTATCATAAAGATTTTGGTTCCTTTTGATAATCACACTTATCCAAACGTAACTTCCTGGATTATGACCCCTTGGTGCCTTTTGATAATCAAACATATCCGAACATAACTTCCTGGATTATGGTCCTTGATTGGTCGAAAAATTGCATTTTTAGCTTGTGGATTCTCTAGAGGTCACAATTTTTTTTCTGATTTTAAAAACCATTTAGATATATCACCATTCCACCATAATGAAGGTTGAATTCGAATTTCAGGGGGAGCCACGGTGGCTAGTTGGTTAAGACACTGGCTCGCTAGCCTGGAGGTCGGGTGTTCGATCCCTGCATTGGCCGAGAAAGTTCATCTGGATTTTCCGACGTGGTTTCCCCTTGTCAGTGGTGCAGAACGGAGGGCCTGACAAGGACAGCTGTCTAGTCCTTCGGATGAGACGAAAAACTGAGGTCCCGTGTATACATTGGAATGCACGTAAAAGATCCCTTGGCAGTTGGAATTCGATATAAGAGTAGGCGATAGTGCCGCTGCCTGGGCAAAATTTCCCTCATAGCACACTGTATGGCGTATGCCCGTCTTCATTAGTCCAGCATAGGAGCAGAACAGTAGGACGTTAAACCCCATTTCATTTCATTTCATTTCGAATTTCAGGAAAATCAAAATGAAACTGCCCGACAAAAAGGCCGCTCTTTGTACGCAAATTGTATATAAAATATAAGTATGTAATACTTTATTAATACAAAGGTTATGGACCCTCTAGAAGTCACAATTTTTATCCGAGTTTGATGAAACTTTAAACATATCTTTATAATTCAAAAATCGCAGTCCCTTTTGATATTTGCACACTTCAGACCATAACTTTCTGGACTGTACAAAAAATTGTTTTTGGTTTTATCCATCTCTTGCAAAATGTGGGAATATCCTACCTGGCAGCCGCTGGTTTACTTTATACACATTATACATGCTAACAGAGGGTTAATTTTATAAATGTTATCGTTATTTTGCAGGCTATGACTTTGTCAAACAAAATTTTATTTTAGAGCAATTTCAATTATCATTGTGCCGTTTGTCTATCTTCGTCGAATGAATAAAAACTAAAAGGTGACAGACAAAAACTACCACTGTAACATTGGTACTGTTTAATCTAGCGTAAATAGCATTAATTTCTACTCTGTGTCCAATTATTCATAAATATTGTTGAATTTCGGCGAATAGTGCTCAATTTGTACTTTTATCATATTTCAATCTCACTGTTTAATTTTGATTACCAAGCGTCTAATTAACTAGTGTTTAGTTTCTCGACACGTGTTGAATTATAAGCGTCCCGTCTTATTAGCACGACTGTTCAATAATTAGTTGGACCGTTCAATTTCCCGAGCCGTGATTAAAAGGTTTAATCTCTCTGTGCCCCCCAATCAACTGGTGTTATAGGGTAGTGGTGTGAAAATTTAAGTAAACAAAGGATTATAGACTGTATCCTTATTAGTACTGTTCACCTAGTTAAAATTTAATTATTTTAATGATTAAAATAAATAAGTTAAGTTCACGTGTCATCGGTTAACGAGTATCTTAAATATTATTCACCTACCTTTCATTCAGACAGTACTCATAAATCAATCAAATATATGATTAGAAACTCACTATCATTATATAAGGATAGTTGTCACCCCCAATTACATTATATCTTTTAAAATGGCTCAAGTTCGCATAGGGTTTATTCCTAATTCTCAAGGAGGTCAAAATTTAGTTAATTTGGGGTATAAGTACAGAGTAAAAAATACGAAACCCAATAGCACCAGCAGACTTTTACTGAAAATACAATAGTTCAATTGGATAACGGGGGACGATTGCCCCCTAAAAGACGAAAATATAAAAGAGTAGAAGAATCTATTAATGATCTAAAAATCAAACTGTTAAATGGAGTAAAAAGTGCAATTGAATATACTGACGCCATATCACATTTAGTAGGGTTAAATAGGAAACATGTTTATTAAAGGCTATTGCCTTTCTATACTCAATACTCACATATCTTGACTATACAAGATTTTTACAAAGAAAAACACATGGTTTTAAAATATGGCTGCCAACCCAACTCAACAACATTTATTATCTCCAAAAAGAAGAGTAAAAAGAAAACAAGAGTTGTTTCCCTTTCATCATTAATCATTTCAGAACAAATGCCTTGATGGAGTTCAAACATGAGAATTTTCTGCTTAGGGTAAGCAAAAACAAGCAATTTAATTGGTTGATACTTTGGGACTCGATAACTTTAGTTCGAATTAAGTGAGAGTGGGGACACTTGGTGTATAGCTTTAATACTGAGTTCGTTCATGAACATTATTTGCTGAGGGTAAGCAGAGTGATAAGCAATTTGATTGGTTGAGATTTTGGAACACAATAACTCTCCTTCTAATTGAGGTAGAATGTTCAAACTTGGTGTAGGCGTTCATTATGTGAATGCCTTGATGGAGTTCAATGATGAACATTGCTTACGGTAAGCAGAGATAAACAATCTGATTGGTTGATGCTTTGGGACACGATAACTTCCTGAATTATGGTCTCTGATTGTATGAAAAATCTCGCTTTTAACTTGTGGTCCCTCTAGAGGTCACAATTTTTATCTGAATTAAAAAAAAACGTTTTAGTATATCATCGTTACACCCTAATGATGGTTGAGTTCGAATTTCGGGAAAATCGGACCAAAACTGCCAGACAAAATGGCCGCCCTTGTACGCAAATAGTGTAAAAATATGGTATATCAAGGTTGTCACAATTTTCATCCGATTTAGATGAAACTTGGAATGCATGTTTTTGACCCAAAGATCTTGGTTCCTGTCGATATTTGCGCATATCGGATTTTACCTTTCTGAATTATGGCCCCTGATTGTATGAAAATCACGCTTTTAGTTTGTGGTCCCTCTGGAGGTCACAATTTTTATCCGAATTAAAAAACATGTTTTAGTATATCACCATACACCCAAATGATGGTTGAGTTCAAATTTCGTGAAAATCGTACTAAGACTGATGGACATAATGGCCCCTTGTACGCAAATAGTGTAAAAATATGGTATATCAAGGTTGTTGACTCTCTTAGAGGCCACAGTTTTTATCGGATTTGGATGAAACTTTAAATATATGTTTTTATCATAAAGATTTTGGTTCCTTTTGATAATCACACTTATCCAAACGTAACTTCCTGGATTATGACCCCTTGGTGCCTTTTGATAATCAAACATATCCGAACATAACTTCCTGGATTATGGTCCTTGATTGGTCGAAAAATTGCATTTTTAGCTTGTGGATTCTCTAGAGGTCACAATTTTTTTTCTGATTTTAAAAACCATTTAGATATATCACCATTCCACCATAATGAAGGTTGAATTCGAATTTCAGGGGGAGCCACGGTGGCTAGTTGGTTAAGACACTGGCTCGCTAGCCTGGAGGTCGGGTGTTCGATCCCTGCATTGGCCGAGAAAGTTCATCTGGATTTTCCGACGTGGTTTCCCCTTGTCAGTGGTGCAGAACGGAGGGCCTGACAAGGACAGCTGTCTAGTCCTTCGGATGAGACGAAAAACTGAGGTCCCGTGTATACATTGGAATGCACGTAAAAGATCCCTTGGCAGTTGGAATTCGATATAAGAGTAGGCGATAGTGCCGCTGCCTGGGCAAAATTTCCCTCATAGCACACTGTATGGCGTATGCCCGTCTTCATTAGTCCAGCATAGGAGCAGAACAGTAGGACGTTAAACCCCATTTCATTTCATTTCATTTCGAATTTCAGGAAAATCAAAATGAAACTGCCCGACAAAAAGGCCGCTCTTTGTACGCAAATTGTATATAAAATATAAGTATGTAATACTTTATTAATACAAAGGTTATGGACCCTCTAGAAGTCACAATTTTTATCCGAGTTTGATGAAACTTTAAACATATCTTTATAATTCAAAAATCGCAGTCCCTTTTGATATTTGCACACTTCAGACCATAACTTTCTGGACTGTACAAAAAATTGTTTTTGGTTTTATCCATCTCTTGCAAAATGTGGGAATATCCTACCTGGCAGCCGCTGGTTTACTTTATACACATTATACATGCTAACAGAGGGTTAATTTTATAAATGTTATCGTTATTTTGCAGGCTATGACTTTGTCAAACAAAATTTTATTTTAGAGCAATTTCAATTATCATTGTGCCGTTTGTCTATCTTCGTCGAATGAATAAAAACTAAAAGGTGACAGACAAAAACTACCACTGTAACATTGGTACTGTTTAATCTAGCGTAAATAGCATTAATTTCTACTCTGTGTCCAATTATTCATAAATATTGTTGAATTTCGGCGAATAGTGCTCAATTTGTACTTTTATCATATTTCAATCTCACTGTTTAATTTTGATTACCAAGCGTCTAATTAACTAGTGTTTAGTTTCTCGACACGTGTTGAATTATAAGCGTCCCGTCTTATTAGCACGACTGTTCAATAATTAGTTGGACCGTTCAATTTCTCGAGCCGTGATTAAAAGGTTTAATCTCTCTGTGCCCCCCAATCAACTGGTGTTATAGGGTAGTGGTGTGAAAATTTAAGTAAACAAAGGATTATAGACTGTATCCTTATTAGTACTGTTCACCTAGTTAAAATTTAATTATTTTAATGATTAAAATAAATAAGTTAAGTTCACGTGTCATCGGTTAACGAGTATCTTAAATATTATTCACCTACCTTTCATTCAGACAGTACTCATAAATCAATCAAATATATGATTAGAAACTCACTATCATTATATAAGGATAGTTGTCACCCCCAATTACATTATATCTTTTAAAATGGCTCAAGTTCGCATAGGGTTTATTCCTAATTCTCAAGGAGGTCAAAATTTAGTTAATTTGGGGTATAAGTACAGAGTAAAAAATACGAAACCCAATAGCACCAGCAGACTTTTACAGAAAATACAATAGTTCAATTGGATAACGGGGGACGATTGCCCCCTAAAAGACGAAAATATAAAAGAGTAGAAGAATCTATTAATGATCTAAAAATCAAACTGTTAAATGGAGTAAAAAGTGCAATTGAATATACTGACGCCATATCACATTTAGTAGGGTTATGACTTATGTTTGATACATGTATTTGTTGTTACTTTTATGAAATTTATTGTGAATAAAGTTGTTAATTAGTTTAAACCTAGTAGTTTAAAAAAACAGACTATACTTTTATCTATTGTATTCGATAACCCCCTTACTTGATTAATCCCCCCATGAGAACAATAGCAGGGGGCACAGTGAGATGTCCCCGATTAAAATCAGTCAAGGTGTCCAATTACGTAAGGTGTTAAATTTTGTTGTCATCAAACATCTAATTTCACGTGCGATGTTCAGATATTACGATGTGTTTAGTTGTTGGTCATCATTCAGTTTTGCAGCACTATGTTGAAATACTGTAATAATTGTTAGTTTTACTACTGACCTGTTGCCATACAGTGAAATATTATTTTTCAGGATTCATACGACGGCAGGTATCTGTAATGCCTGTCATTATCCGGGGATTATTTTTCAAGATCACTACGGTGAAACAGATGTTGGATTTTTAATGGCGACGGGACAGTTCCGAAGCAAAGCTTTCTTGAGATACACATACCGTTTCGTCCACAATCATAAAACGTGTATTTATATATCCATTTAAAACAGTATTTCCCACACTGAGAACACATCCACGAATGATAAATCTCACGCATCTGATTTATGTGTGTACACGTCGACTCCCAACCCTGATTAAATCCTTTTGTTTAAATGTCTTCGCAATTAAGACTAACAGCATGGGTATTGCACCAATCATATATTACATAATATGGGATCTATAGAAAGCATTTTGGGCTGAAGGGTAGTGCGATTATCTCGGGCAATAAACACAGAAGACTTGTAGAAGCTAACAATATTTCTATTGTGTAAGACAAAACGTGAAAATAAACTAATAATTCAAACTCTTTATTTCTTTTTATTATTATAGAACGACGACTCTTTTTCGCTGAAGATCAAATAAAACCTACTAAATACATTTCATGCTTATATGTAACGCATAACTTTGCCAAACTTTATTTCAGAGAAAGCCAATTTAAAAAGGAATTGTATCATATATTTAAGTTAAATTTTCAATAAAGAATGGGGATATTATAAATACAGGCCTCGGTGTAATTTTACATGCAAAATTAACGGTATTTATTTGTCATAAACAATCAATGTCAAAACGATATACTGCCACGATGTTATGAATGTTGAATATTTTCGTTAATAATACGGACGCGTTAGTCCACGTTGTATAGTGAGAACACGCGTGTTCACATATTCTGCACAATATATATGCAGTTATATTTCCAACCAGTCATGTAAAGCTGCATGTCTAGAACATTTTAAAGGACACGTATGCATAAGACTATACATGTATTACACAGTTTAGATATTTATGCTGTGTTCAAATTGTTTTGCATATTTACTGTACGTATTAAGAGTGTATAGTTAATAATTACTCTTGAATTACGGCAAAGGTAGACTTTTAAATTGCAAACTATAAAGGTATTTTGGTTATCGGTCTTACAAATAGAAATAAGACATAAATAGAACTTGCAACAGGATTCGAGAGCGCTTTCAAGTCAGACGTAAGCTCGTACTTACCGTAAAAAAGAACTGAATGCAACACAAGTCTCTGATGTAAGAGAATATTAGTTAATTATAACCGCTATCAAATCCACACAAAAATCCAAGGCACTCGTTTTATTTTAGAAAGGAATAACTGTTTTTCGTCCGAAGAGCCTATTCCACATGAACCCCAAATCAATGATGAACTGTCAACTTGTTTTTTTTTTTTTTTTTTTTTTTTTTTTAAATATAATTTATTTATAAAATTCATATAATTACATTCAGTTATGCATAATTATATTAACAATGCAATAGATAATTTATAATTTAATACAGTAGAATTATTTATTTATTTACAATTGTTATATATACAAAGTCAATATGAGATGATATATACAAACGGTAATATAATACAAAATACAATTAAAGTTCCTATATTATAGCTACTTTCCTATATACAGCTAAAAATATATTTAAAGTCTGTAGTGGAAAAGCTTCTGGTTGAAAGAGAGTGTGATGTTTCCCAGCACAAAAAGAACGTGCATAGGGAATTGTGGGATGTTATGATGGCCATGTTAATGTTAGAGGTG